CCCCCCCCCTTCGATGAAACTAAGGCGCGAGGATTCCTTCGGGACCCAAATGCCGCTTTCCAACCGGAAAAGCTCATCCGGAAGCACTTTCTCGTCAAACAAGATGGCGGCGCCCAGCAAACCGGCGGCCCGGTAAGAAATGTTCCACGGACCGGTACCGGTCCACGGCCTGGTGGTTGGGGACCCCTGGGTTAATAGGAGTCCAGTGGACCCCGCAGCTGTGCAAAGCCCGAACTGGAAATCGCGCAGCCCCAAATATAATCCCCCCCAGACTAACTTTTCCTTTCTTTAGGGGCCTCCCCTTGCTGCCCCCAAGCGCCCCCCCTCCAGGTCCAACCCAATTCAAAGGATATGTTCTGCTGTCGTTTCAAGTCGAGGTTCCGATACCCGGCCGGTTGGCCTTGAAGCTGCCACTCAGGGAGATACGGCGAACTTTCCGCTTGGAGCCTGCCCCCCCCCCCCCCATCCACACCCCTCCCCCCACACCCCCATAGAGGTCAATGGAGATTCTCCCTCATCCGGGTCATATTTGTCCCAAAGGTGCCTCTTTTTTTTTCTTTTTTTTCAAGAGGCACCTGGACTTTCTGGTTTTTCTCTGAAGACATTTCCCTTCTCATCCCAGAAGCTTCCTCAGCTTTGCAAGGAATATCAATCCTTCCCTTCCCCACCATCCAGTCAGAGCTTGAAGCAGCTTCTGGGACGAGAAGGAAAACGTCTTCAAAGGAAAACTGGAAAGTCCGGCTGCCTCTGGGAAAAAGCCCCTTTAGGAAACCACCCCCCCTCCCCAGAGTCGATGGCGGACGGGCACCGAGTGATAGCCCTTCCCTCCCCCTGGCATGGGAGGGAGGGGAGGACGCCGGGGTCCTAACCTGAGCCTTGTAGTGCTCGACGGCCTGTTCCTTCTGCACCAGCTGGGCCTGGAGATCCGCCGTCTTCTCCTTCAGTTGCTTCATCTCCGAACGGAGACCTTCCTCACGCATCTACAGAGAGGGAGACCCACCTCACCGTCTCAGGAGAGGGGAGACCCCCCCCTTCCTCCTGAGCCCACGGGGTCGCTCTCTGCCCCGGGCCTCTTCTGACATTCCTCCCACTCCAGGATTCAAGGCTTTAACCTGGCAGGACACTCGCTTGTCCCGCTCAAGAAGAGGATTTGCTACCAATAAAGGAGAATATTTCTAGCTCAGGGTTGAACGGAGGGGCCCCTGGCGGTCTCTGACCTTGCCTGCTTTCTTGCAGATGTTTCACTGTGTGACGAGGCAACAACATATCAGTGCTAGAAGGGGATAGGGTTTGTGGGGAGGGGGAGGAAGAGAAGAAGGGAGGAGGAAGACTGTGGGGTCCCTGGTGCTCTCTGAGCTGGGTGGTTTTCTTGCAGACGTTTCATGACCCAACTAGGGAACAGCATCAGCTGCTAGTAGGACTGTGGTTTGCTGTCAGTTTATGTTCTGGTGTCGTGCCTGTCTGTGTGTGGGGAGGGGGCAGCCTTAGGGATCCTTTGCTTGGGCTATTCTCTGAGGGCTCTTTGGCAGCTTCTTGGATTGGGGTCTTGCTTATTTGACGGTTGGTCTGAGGTCAACCGACAGCTTTTGGCTGTCATTTCATGAGCGAAGGCAAATATACTTTGCGCGGCGCTGCCCAAAGGCTCCCCTACGAGGACAAACCATGTCTTGTAAAGGTCACTTGGGAGGCAGGAGAGGCTCCCGGTGTAGTTCACCCCTGATCCCGCGCATGGATTGGGATTAGGTAGGGCAGGCGGGGAGGAAGAACACAAGTGAGTGGTCAGACGAGGAGACCGGAGCTCACGGGGAGCCTCACACTGCAGGGAACATACGTTCAATTTCGCATCTACTACGATTGTTGGCCGAGCAGGGACAAAAACAGCCAGGGAAAGGATTGAAGCCTGGGGAAAAAAGGGAGGGCGGATTTACTGCCGACTGGTCAGGTATTTAGGAGCTGAGGGCTTGGAAGAAGCCCAAGGAAACAAAAGCCCACCGCCGGCCATCAACGCCACCCATCAGCCAATGGGAAGGCATCGCATAAATACGGTGCGTAGAACAGCGCACAGCACAGATTCCAGGAGACGAACGCTTTCCTCCACAAATCCGAAAGCGCAGAAGGCTAATCCTTCTGAGGTCCCGGGGATTCGACCCAGGTAGGATCTTGTCCTGTTTTGTTTTTTTTTTATTTGCGCTTGGGTTCTCGTGCTATTTACGCTCGTGAAGATCTTGGACCCCTGGCTTCCTCCAAGCCACCCCTGGCAACGACGGGTGGAGTAGAACGAAGCGTGAGAAAAAACCGCGCAAGCTCCGTGGACTCATCTGACCAGGAACTTCTCTCCTGGAGGGCCTCCTGAGGTGGGGGCCAGGTGGAGGTGTGCAAGGGTCCCTGTGCTGGATACCCACCTTTGCTTTCTGCTGCTGGGTCTGGCCGGCTTTCTCTTGCTGGGCCAGCTTCTTTTTCAGCTCATCCACCTGTGGGAGGGAGAGGAGAAGAAGTCACTCCAGGTCTCCCCCGGCCGATTCAAATCTTATTTTTATTTTTTTTACTACCGGTCCTGTGGGCGTGGCTTGGTGGGCGTGGCAGGGGGAAAGGATACCTCAAAATTTCCCTCCCCACCCCACTAACCTGCTTTCCGGCTCCGTTCTCCCAAATACTCCAAAGTTCTGGAGAACGGGTCAAAACCAGCTGAATCCAACCTCTGCTTCCCCCCAAATTCCTGCCTGGACCCCCCCGTGAGCTCTCCCTCTGAAACCCAGCTGTCTGCTAGCCAGCTGGGTAAGTTGGTGGCAGCACCCATCCTCCCCAGCCCCTTGAACGATGGGACCGGAAGTCCAATCCCTCCGGAGGGCTGGGATAGACTCTCCCATTGATCATTTTCCGCCCCGGGGTCAGGACCGGGGAAGGACCCAGGAAGCTGGGGAGAAGGCCGACCCCTCCCCACAGGGAAGCTTTGGGGGGAGGGGGAGGACCCCCATGGCTGCCCAAGGAAGAAATCCACCTGGAAAGAGGCCAGGATCGACCTGGGGGAGCTGCGCCAGGGCCCCAACGACCTGGACCCCCTCATGGGGAGCAACTGGTCCAAGGCTGACCCGAGGCGGGGACTCCCCACCGATGGCCCCTCGACTCTTTTCCCAAAGGAAGGGAAGTTTGGGCCAAGGGGCCACGCAGAGACAACTGGACAGCCATCAGGCGGGGGATTTATAGAGGCAGTCCTCCACTTACAACGGCTCATTTAGCGGCCGTTGGAGATTGCAACGGCACTGAAGAATTGGCTTACGGCCGTTTTCCCACACTTGGGGCCGCTGCAGCTTCCCCCTCTGGTCGCGTGATCAAAATCTGGACACTTTGCGATTGGTTCGTACTTAGGGTGGTGGCAGGGTCCTGGGGGTCATGTGACTTTCTGACAGCCAAGGGGGAAGGCAGATTCACTTAATAACCGCAGAGGGTTCGCTTAACCACCGTGGCAAGAAAGGTCTAGAATGGGCCCGGCCCCATTTGGCGGGCATTTGGCTTAGTGACAGAAACCTGGAGCTCAGTTGTGGGCGTAAGTCGAGGGGCGTACCTGTGCAGCCGCCTTCCACCAAGCAGCCCCCCACCCACCCCCACCCTCTGCTGCCAAGAGTTCGGAAGGGGAGATGCCGGCTCTGCCGCGGAGGGAGAAACCGAGGTGGCGGCGGCAGCTCCGGCTGCGCAGCCCCCAGGGAAGCACCTGGCATCATCCTGGGCCCATTACCTGCTTGGCTTGTTCCCGCTGATATTTCTCCAGCTTCTCTGCCTGCAAGGTTGGGAAGAAGGAAAGGCTGCAGAGGCCGGGGCATCACAACTCAAGGCCCCCTGAGAGGCTCTCTGTGTGTGTGTGTGTGTGTGTGTGTGTGTGTGTGTGAGCCCAACGCCTCTCACTTCCTAAATCCCCCCAAAGACGGCAGAAATAAGAGACCGCCCAGCCTGCCCCTTCATGCCACACGGTCCCAGGTAACCCCAAGTGATTCGGTCAGCATCGTTCCATTTAACGACCCAACGGAGGCACCTGCCGGGCACGAGCCAAACCTGGGAGTCCTCTGAGCTATTTTGGCCACCACCCCCCCCAAGATCCTCAACCCACCCCCCCCCAACATGCTGAGATAAAAGGCTAGGGTGGTCGTGGCTGCTCTCTGAGCTGGGTGGTCTTCCTGCAGACGTTTCCCTAGGGAGCCTCATCGGTGCTAGAACAGGGTGTGTGTGTGTGTGTGTGTGTGTGTGTGTGTGTGTGTAGCGCGGGAGGAAGAAAATGAGGACTGTGGGGTCCCGGAGGCCCTCTGAGCTTGCGTCTTTCCTTGCAGGCATTTCACAACCCAACTATGGAACGTCACCGGTGCTAGAAGAGAGAGAGAAGGGGGGGTGGGGGGGGATTGGCTCTTTGCTTCCGTACGGAAGCTTCTCCTCCCAGGATTGTTGGGATGGGGGTTTTTTTTTCCTTGTTCCTGCTTAAGTGTTTCTCTGGTGGAGGCCGCAGGGCAAACTACTGCATGTAAACATGGGGAAAGCCCACACTCCCTCACACGGACGACGCTCCCTAGCTGGGTCATGCAACGCCTGCAGGAAAACAGCCAAGCTCTACTCCATCAACGGCCTGATGAAGTCCCCTAGCTGGGTCATGCAACGCCTGCAGGAAAACACCGGGGACCCCACAGCTGAACCCCGGGCTCCAAAGCTTCCCTTGGCCGTCCCTGAGAACAGCCCCCTCCCACCTGGGTGTGCGTGTGCGTGTCATTAGAGCAAAGGCTCACCTGAGCTGCCAGCTGGTGCTTGCTGTCCTCGCAGGTGTTGGCCATGGCCTCCAGCTTCTTCCGGGCCTCCTCAGCCTCCCGCTTGCTCCCGGCCGCCAGCTTCTCGGCCTCCAGCCGGGCGGCCTCCAGCTCCAGAGCGTGCCTCTGCTTGACCTGGGCCAGCTCCCGGTCCAGGCTCTGCCGGCCCTGGGCGGCCTTCTCCGCCAGCTCCCTCTTCTCCTCAGCCATCTGGGCCTGGGCGTTCTGGAGGGCGGCCAGGCGCTCCGCCTGCCCGCTATTCTCCGCCTGCAACCGGAGGAGCCTCTCCTGGGCGGAGGCGGCCTCCGAGAGCTCCTGCTTGGCCCTGCTCAGCTCCGCCTGCAGGAGGGCCGCGGTCTCCTGCAGCCGCCCCACCTCTTCCCGGTGCCGCTCCCCCTGGGCGGCCTGCTCCGCCTGGAGCTGCTGGCACAAGCCCTTGAGGGGCACCAGCTCCCCGATCAGAGCCTGAGCGCCGGCCAACTCCTGCTGCTGCCCTGCGAGGAGCTGCTCCTTCTGGACGGCCTTCTCCTGCCAGGCCTGCAGCTCCTGGCCAAGGGCCTCCTCCCGCTTGGAGAGCCCGCTCAGCTCCTTCTTCAGGGCCTCCACGGACAGCCGCAGCTTCTCGGCCTGCTCCTGGGAGCTCTGGGCCTCTGCTTTCATCGCCGAGCACCGCTCTGCCGCCCGGGAGGCCGCCGTGGCCATCTCGGACTGGAGGAGCCTCAGCCTCTCTTCGAGCTTCTTGCTCTTCTCCGACTCGGCCAGGACCAGGCGCCGGAGGTCCTTGCTCTCCGCCTCCTTCTCCAGCAGCTGCCGGTGCAGGATGGACCGGTCCTGCTCCAGGCTGTTGACGTGGCCGGCCTTCCTCTCCGCCTCCTGGCGGTAGCGGGACGCCTGCTCTTTCCAGCTCTCTTCCGACCTCTCCTTCTCCTGGGCCGAGGCCCGCAAGGAGGCCAGCTCTTCCTCGGCTCGCGCCGCGGCCTTCTGGCTCCGCCCCAGCTCCTCTTCCGCCCGGGCGAGCTCCTGCTTCAGTCTCTCCACGCCGGCCTGGGAGGCCTCCAGCTGCCTCTCCAGCTCGGAGGTCCTCTGCCTCTGCTGCCCGGCTTCCCGCTTCAAGGCCTCCGCCTCGGCGTGCTGCTGCTCCTTGGAGGCGGCCGTCAGCTTCTCCAGTTTGGCGATGGTGCTTTGCTGGTCCTTGCTCTGCTTCTCCAGCCGGACGACCTGGGCCTGGAGCTCTTGGGCCTCCTGCAGCTGTTTCTCGCGGGCCTCCCGGAGGGAGCCCGACTCCTTCTCCCAGAGGAGCTTCTGCTCCTCCAGGCCTTGGAGGGAGGCGTCCCTGGAGCGCAGCAGGGCTTTCAGGCCGCTGACCTCGGCCTCCCGGGTCCTGGCCGCTTCCAGGAAGCCCTGCAGCTCCCCCTCCCTCTTGGCCTCCCTCTCCTTTAGCGCCTCCGCCGAGGCCAGCTCCCCTTTCAGCTTGCTGACCGTCTTCTGCAGGTCCCTCAACTCCTCGCCGCGGGAGACGTTCTTCAGGCGCAGCTCCTCCAGCTCCCTCTCCTTCTCGGCCAGCAAGTCCTGGGCCCTGGCCACCTCCTCCTGGAGGCCGGCGACCTCCACCCGGTGCTCGTCGGCGAGGCTCTGCAGCTGCGCCTCCAGGGCCGCCTTCTGGGCCTTCTCCGCGGCCAGCTCGGCCTGGGCTCGCCCCTCCTCCTTCACCAGCCGCTTGGCTTCCTCCTGGTGCCGAGCCCGCTGGCCTTCCCGTTGCTGCGCCGCCTCCTCCAGCGTGGCCTTCAGCTCCCTCGCCTGGGCAGAGGCCTCTTCGACCTCCCGCTCTTTCTCCTTCAGAGCGGACCGGAGGCTGGACAGGCTGGACTCGGCCGTGGTCAGCTCTTCGCTGCTTTGCTCCCCCAACTGCTTCACGCGGGCTTCCAGCTCCTCTCTCTTGAGCCGCTCTTCCGCCAGCCTCTCGATGGCCTCGGCAAGCTCCCGCGCGGCCTCCTGCCCGTCCTTCGTGGCCTGAGCCGATTCCTGGCGCGTGGTGGCCACCTGCTTCTCCAAGGTGGCCACTTTGGCTCGGAGCTTCTCCTCCGAGCTCGTCTTCTCCTGGACTTGGGCGACGGACTGAGACAGTTTGGCCTGCGCAGCCGCCAGAGCTTCCTGGTGCTGGGCCCTGAGATCCTTCAGCTGGGCTTCCAGCTCGGCCAACGCCTTCTGGTCAGCCTGAAACTTCTGGCCGCTCTGCTCCTGACCCGCACTGGCCGCTTGCTCCCTTTTGGCCACGGGCAGTTCAGCCAGCTGACGCCGAAGCTCTTCCAGCTTCCTCCCGGATTCCTCTTCCAGCCGCTGCATCTGGCCTTCCAGCGCCCGCCTCCTGGCCTTCTCCTCCGCCAGGCCTTCCTCCGCCCGCTCCTTGTGCCTGGTCAGCTCCTGGACCTGCTCGTCCAGCTCGGCGATCTGCCGGAGGTTGCTCTCCAGGGACTCGGCCGCCCTCCTCTTCTCGTCCTCCAAGATGCCCTCGGTGTTGTGGACGGACTCTTCCAGGACCATCAGCCGCTCCTGGAGGCGGGTGTGTTCCCTGGCCAGCTTCTCCTTCTCGGCCAGCTTCTGCTGGGCTTCCCGCAGCTGGTTTTTCAAGGCCGGGACGGCGGCCGCCTGGGCCTCGCTCTGCTGGCTCTGGGCGGTCAGGGCCAACACCTTGGCCTCCAGCGCCTGGATCTTCTGGCTGGCCTCGACCTTCTCCTGGTGCAGCTCCACCGCGGAAGAGGTCCGGGCGTGCTCCAGGGACTGCAGCCGCTCGGCCAGGGAGGACACCTCGGCTTCCTTCTCCTGGAGCTGCCGGACGGCCAGCTCCTTCTCCTGGGCAATGCGGTTGTACTCTTCCTGGCTGGCGGCTTCGATCTGGGAGACCTTCTGGTTGCTCTGCTTCAGGGAGCTGCTCAGCTGGTCCACCTGGCGGCTCAGGTCTTCCAGGGCCGCCCGGGACCTCTGCTCCTTCTTCTCCCACTCTTCGGCCAGCTGGCTCTTCTGGCTCCGCTCGGCCTCCACCTGCTGGTGCAGGGCCAGCAGCTCCTCGTCCCTCTGGCGCAGGAAGCCCGTCAGCTTGGCAATCTCCGCCGTCAGGCTGTTGGCTTGGGCGATCAGGCACTCCTCCTGGGCCCGGCAGTCCTGCTCCAGCTTCTCCTTGGCGCGGGAGATTTCGGAGCTGGAGCTCTGCAGCTCCGTCAGGAGGGCCGTCAGCTGGGCCTTCTCCGCTTCGAAGCTTCTCCTTTCGGCCTGGAGGTTGGCCTCCAGCAGGCGCTTCTCCTCCTCCAGGCGCAGGGCGGTGGCTTGCAGTTCGGCCTGCTGGCTGCTGAGGCTGGCCACTTGCTCATTCAGGCCCTCCAGCTGCAGGAGGAAGAAAGCGGGGGGACACTGGTGATTCCAGAGAGAGCCTCACCTGCCAGGTGTGTGTGTGGGTGTGCGTCTGTGTCCTCGCGCTCTCCGAACTACCGGCTGGGTTTCCCACCCACCCCCTCTGCGCGCTAATCTGGTCAGGGCGCCTCCCGACATTAGCGGGCAAACACCGGACCAGGGACACCAAGAGATCAGGACACCAAGTGCGGTTTCTTAGTAGCCACTTTGGGATGGGTAGACTTCAATTCCCAGAATTCCCCGGACAGCCTTGTTAGCCGGGGTGTTTCCGGGCGTTAAAGTCCATGCAACTGAAAGCGGCTGTTGGAAGGGAGGGAAGAACAAGATGGGAAGGAGGGAGGGAAGAAAGGGAAGAAGGAGAAAATAGGAGGGAGGAAACGGGAGAGGGAGGGAGGATGTGGGGAGAAGAGGAGGAGGGAGGGAGGGAGGGAAGAAAGGAAGGGAGGGAGGAAGGAAGGAAGGAAGGAAGGAAGGGAGGGAGGGAGGGAGCTGAATGACTTTGGGCCTGTCCCCCCCTTTCAGCTCAATCCACCTCGCAGGGTTGTTGTGGGCAAAACAGGAGCCGGAAGGCGCCTTAGATATCTTCACTGCCCTGAGTCGCTTGTAAAATAGTAACAAGACAGGCAGGACAACCAATGAAAGGTAAAAGGAACCTGGAGCTGGTTCATCTTCCAGAGGCGAATCCGAGGGGGGGGGCATTCCGGGACCCCCACTCGCCCTCCCGGCTGGGGCTGCCGGGCTCTCACCTTCAGGACGTCCCCCAGGACTTCTCCTTTGACCGGCAGGGAGCTGGTCTCCTTGGTCAGCTTGGCCAGCTGGTCCTCCAGCAGGGAGATCTTCCCCTGCAGAATCTCCACTTTCTCTTCCAGGCACCGCTGGGGAATCCGAGACAGAGACCAGCAGTGAGAGCCCACCTGCCCCTCTGCTCTTTGCCCCTCCCCCACTCCCCCCCAAAAAAGCCCATAATCCCCAGGTCATCCAGGGCAGGAGGAGGAGCCCAGTCAACAAGAGCCCCTTCCCACCCTCCCTTCAGGCTTGGCCCTCCAATGGGCGGCCTCCAGATCAGCTTGGCACTCTGGCCTGCCTCCTGGGAGCTGGGAGTGTGTGTGTGTGTGTGTGTGTGTGTGTGTGTGTGTGTGTGTGTACACATTCTCAAAACTATCAGAGAGAGAACTTAGAGGGGAGCTGTTTATTCTGCCCAGAGTCCTTCCGGCTATCCGTCCTTCCTTCCTGTCCTCCCCACCTCCCACCCTCCCGAGCTGCCTAGAATTTGTATCATCTATGTATGTATCCCTCCATCCCTCCACTATCATCTCTCTCTCTAGCTATCTCTCTCTCTCTATTTCTGTATCTTTTTACAACTAGCGCTCTCTCTCTCTCTCTATCTCTGTGTGTATGTATCCCTCCCTCACTCCCTCTAGCTAGCAAGCTATCCATCTCTGTATCTCTTCTCATCTATCTATCTATCTATCTATCTATCTATCTATCTATCTATCTATC